CTTAATCTTTCGATTTATTTCAAGTAAATTTTAATAAACTCCGTTTATTTATGAAGTGTTTATCATGATTAAGATACCATATCAATGCTAGAAACTTATTTACTTTAAAGTTCAAAAGGTGGAAAAGCCCAGTTATAGCCCGGTTAAGGGTAAAACTTGACTAATTTCCACTTTCCTGATATCTGACACCATCTTCCTAACTAGCCGACTAAAGGCTTAATAGCATTCCACAAATCAGCTTGTGCCGGAGGCTAAATCCGTTAGCTGGAAAAGCAAACATGGGAGTCCTCTAGATTTCGGCCTCCTTTTTCTAACCGAGAAGTGGCTCCTACCAACTTTTCAATTACTGCTGCCCGGGCGAAAGTAATGGCTGAAAACTGAGAAACAGGGGCAGCAGCAGGAGCGGCAAGAACAACAACTGCCAGCTGGCAAATGGCACATTTTGTGCTTAATTTCATTTCCGTTTAGGTGCCGCTCCAAATGCCATTCGTTTTGCACTGGTGCGGGAATAGGGGGGAGAGAGAGAGATGGGTGAGGAGCAAAGACAGAGACGGGAAACGGGCGGTCCATACTGCGCAACAATGAAGCGCTTGGGTAACGCTAAATTTCATTTTAAAAGCATTTTCATTTACATTTTGTCCATTTGATTTTGCCATTGAAATTTCGAAGCGAAAAACTTTTCCGCCGGCAAATTTTATTGTTTCGCCATTATTACAGGTGGAAAGTCTTTGCCTGTGTGTGTAAGCGGGTCCCGAAAACAGTTTTATGACCCCAACGGTAAGACACTCCGTCCAAGCATCTCCTTTACGGCTCCTGATGGGCTTCCTAATCCGTTTGTGCTTTTAGTAGCGCCCAAATTTTAACGACGCATCTTCGGAATTTGTTTAAGAAATCTATAAGAGCGCAGCACATTTTGTTATTGCCGTTGGACTCCCCTTTACGGCCATACCACTACACATGAAGAAATTAATGTCCTGAAAAGTTATAATATAATATAAAATTGCCCTAACGAATCCCCAGGGAGGCATACAAAGAATTGTAATCATATTTTTAATCTCGAAATGGATTAAGTTTATGTTAAAGAAGAACTTATATTTCTTGTAGCATACTTTTGGGTGGAAATTGACATTTCGAGAGTTTCTCCTATTTGTCTCTTATTTTTAGCCCTCTCTGTTAATTTGCTTTTATAAAATAAAAAAAAAAGTGCAAATTATAAAGGTATTTTTTCCCTCAGTGCCGGTGATTTTTCACTTTGTCTGCTTTTGGCTGCAGCCATTGTTTGTATTTTCTTTTTTTGCTCCGTTTGTTGGTGTTTCTTTTTGGTTTTTATGCGCGACGCTGGTTGAACGCTTCGCTGCTTTGATTTGCCTTGCTTAGCCGACTAATACTCCCCTGACCGCCTTGGTACAGTAGCCCCTGACCTTTGTCCTCGCCATTGCAGGAGTATACACCAGCCAAAGTCCTTGGATGGGACAGAAGCTGAAAGCTGAAACTGAAACAGAAACAGGAGCAGCACTCGTGCGCACTTCGTGCTACAAAGCAACAAATCGAGTTTGCGAATAAATGAAATTACTTTTCGGTCTAATGACCATCATCTGCTGATTTTATTAGATTTGTTTCCTTTTTGCCCTGTGTTTGTTTACGGCTTCTACTGATGCTGCTGTTGCTACTCCTGTTTCTTCAGCACATTCTCCCTGCCACTGTTGCAGCATCGAACTGTTGAACAAACTTTAAATGACTTTTGTGCCCAATCGCTGTGAGCAAAATGCTTGATAAGAGACGTGTTACCTTTCGAAAGGGAGCTATCCTCAAAATTTATATAGGTATAAGTCAGAAGGAGTCTTTCCCCTTATCGTCAAGGGAAAGCTCTGCTTTGGTTTTTGGAATATTCACTTTGTTTTATTTTTTTGTTGCACAGAAGGAGAAAATATCCTTAAAACTCCATTTTCCTTTTAATATTTAACTTTTTTCATTGCCAGAAAAAATTAATGCCTACAAATTTTAGTAATTTTTTGTATAGAAATTAATAAAAGATACTCTTAGTAAGCTATTCCTTTAAGTTGGATTTTCTCTTTTATTTATTTATTTTGTTTTTCTCCAACTTATTTTCAACAATATTTTTTACATGTTTAGATCTTAAACCATTTCTTTTTCCAAGTGTTCAATTTGACTACGGGATATTTGTGTGGGTTTCGGCAAAACCTACTTTCCCCAACCTGTCACCTGTTGTTGTTGATGATTTTCCTGCTGTGCTGGGCCTCTGGTTTTACCCACTTTGTATTTTTCCTTAGCTTCCTCTCCCAAAAAGAGAAAAAAAAACTGACATTTCATTTTTATGAAACATCTTATTTTTCTAATTTGCAACAGCAGGTGTCGCCATTTTCTGCAATTTTGTGTTTATATGAGGAAAGTGCTGCTGCTTTTTCCGCAACACCTACACGCCCTGATGTTCAGCGGGTGTAAATTCAGTTTACTGTAAAATTTAATAGAAAGCGAATTTTACCCCACAGCAGCTGTGAGTGTGTCTTGGGGCAACAGTGCGTATGTGTGTGTGCGTGCAAATTGGGGTCTTTTGTTTATAGTGTTTCACATGTTTGCATATAAAGTGAGAATTCCTGTAAAGCGTGCTGTAAAAATACGTTTAATAAGCTACAAGACGGCTTGTATTATCCCACTCGCATTATGTTTTTTGGAGTTCTGGTTAGGGTGGAGAAGAGTTTAAGGGGTTTTTGCGTATATGGGATAGGGGATGTGGAGACTTCCAACCGACCTGACGTCTTTATTAATTCATAAAACGACAAAACGCCAGGTGCCGTTGACGATATGTCTGAGCTTGGGATTTTTTTTATGTTCTCAAAAGTCAAACAGCAAAATTTGGAACTTTTGCCCAAATGACCAATAAAAACAATAGCCGTCGTAGCACATACACACACATATACAAAAGGAGGATATATATATAGCTACTTGCATATGTATGGAGGGGTAAAATCATTTCCCCAAGATCCCTCCACCCCACCTATAGTATAATTCGTTATCTCTGGGGCGTATCAAAATCACGCTTGATTAACTTTTTCGAGCCATTTAACAAATAAGCAATAAAATCCGTGCATTTCCTTAGTCCGTGTCCAAGTCGGCACAGCCCCACCCACTTTGGGGGGATAGCCTTTTCACTGTTGTCTTGAGCAAATTGCCATTTTGTGTTCAAATGAGACGTTTATGTTTTTTAATTTTTTTCCTTGCTCCCCTGATAATGGCCAATGTCAATGGGTTCAGCTGAGGGCAATCAGGCTATTTGGATGTGGAGAAAGCTGTGAATGTTTTTGTTTTTGTTTTTATGGGGGGTTTAAAAAAATAGATTCCCCTTTTATTAGCCTAAATTAAATGCTTTTGGTGTTCTAATTTGAGATATTTTAAGGGTATTTTGCCACTGAATGGCAACTTAAAAATTTCTGTTAAAAGGATACACTAAAGATGCATACAGCTAATGAGCTACAATCCCAATCATACTTTCTAAACAATCTCCCATCCTTATTTCTATATTTAAATAATAAATACACAACCCACATATCAATAAATTCCTAATAAAATATAAATTGATTTGGCATTAAATGAATTGTAAGCCCAGTACAGAGAGATATTATAAAATATCTGCCAATTTAGCTGGCAATGAATTTGAAACTCGTTTCTGTATTACATTTGGGCCACACAATCAGCACTTCAAACACACAAACCGAGGCATAAATAAACAAGCAGAGGAAATTGCAAATCCCCAAATTAGCATTAGCTAATCAAGGTAACAAATGGCAAGAAGGGCCAAGTGGGTGGAAAATCTTTGGGCAAATACGACGTTGTGTATGCGTTAAGTGCAATGTTAAGGGTTCTGAAGCCAAAAACCCCCCCAAGGGACTAGCTAGCTGTGTGTGTGTGTGTGTATAATATATAATCGAGAAGTATGCCATTTGGCATTCTCGAGACGGCAAAATTAAATTTGACTGGCCAAACGCCCGCAAACAAGTCGAGTCAAAAGCACACAAACACAACGTTTTGCCAACATTTGCCAACTGCAGCTACATGGCTTGCAGTCAAATGCTCATGTTCACCTGGTCCTGGCCCCAAAAGCAAAGGACTGAAAGGATCCGGGAGCAGCTGAGCATCTAAGCCTGGCAGGTACCAATTAAATATTGAGAGAGACATTTGCCATTTCGTGCTCCGTTTGCAATTAGCCATAACATTCTGCCGGATAAATGCTGGCACATTAGTATTACACATACATATGGTATGTACTTGTATGGAATAAGTCTAAGTATATATATATATATATACATGTGGACAATCAAGTCAACCTCATAATGCCATTTGCCGAATTCCATTGATTGGCAATGCCATATTCCCTGCACCTACCACCACCACCACCACCGCACACCTCAAACTTCAAAGGCAATTTTCCCGTCACTCCAGCCAAAAGGTAAATATTTTATAGTCAACATAATCACATCGCACATCAAAGCACCCGAAATCCGCAATGCTCTGCCATCAATCGAGTTGCCAAATCAGGCCATATTTATACGATTGCAAATCAAATTTTGATTTGACAGGTTTTTGCTACCAAAAACTTGCCTCGAAACTGAGGTGAAATTACTCAAGCCTGTGATGAAGTGTTGGTCCTAAGTTTCTGGTTGATTGAATGCTATTAAGAGGGGAAATTTACCTCTACTTGATTTTAATTTTGCATAGATTGAATGGGAAAATCTGAATCTGTTCTAAATGAAAATTTGTGCATTTTTAATATCATGAAAATGATAAAACAAATGCGCTGTTAATTATAGATTGCTTTTTGGAAGTGCTGGGAATTATCTGCAAAATCAAATTAATTAAATAATCCAATTGTGTCGTCGAATGTTTTATTTATGAAGTGTGAATCTGATTTTATAGGTGAATATTTTTAAATTTATAAAACTCCCAAAGCACCTGGAAAATCCTCGAAAAATTATAAAATTCAATTTTGTATTTTGACAATTTATTGTTAATGATATTAAAGCGCACATTTACGTTCAATACTCTCCAGGCCAGAGATTCAAATCAAGTGCAAACACTGTACCAAATAAAGAAATATCAAATTCTTGGCCCAGGACGTAGGCTCACAAACAAGGTGTCAACAGGGCAAAAGGAATTCTACTGGCCGGAGCAGGCCATCTGGTACATGAACTGGATAACAGTGCGCGTCGGACGACCAGTCATCGAGTCCTTGAGAAGGTAGGGCCTGGGATTGATCTTGGTTAGCATGCCAGTGCCACGGATGTCCAGATGGGCCCAATCCACACAGGGAACCAGGGAGTGCAGGATGGCGGCAGCCAAGCAGGAACTGGCAGGACCCCTTCCAGTATTGCAAAGGTCATAGGTAATGTTCTTGTTGACAATCTGCTTGTAGTATTTGAACAATGGGAAACGCCAGATACGATCGCCAGTTAGTCCTCCAGACTTCCGGAAGTTCTGCCACACCGACTTCGAGGTGGTCCACAAGCCACTGGCTCCGCCACCAACGGCATAATTGACACCCATGGCCACTGTTCCAATATCGATGACCAGTTTGGGCTTGAAAGTGGCCTGGGCATAGAGCAGGGGATCAGCCAGTTGTACCACCGGAGCCTTGTCCACGTTCTTGATGCCCATGGTGGTACCATTGAGCAGGGTCACCACATCACCGCACTTCACCGCCATACCAGAAGGCATGTGTTCGCACAACGGCATTACGGCCGTAATATTCATGGGCAGCGAAAGTGCAGCGGCGGCACGGAGGACTCCCACGCACACGGCAGCACCGGCCATGGCGCCACGGTAGCGATCCATTCCCTTCTTGGGCTTCAGGCACAGACCGCCACTGTGGAAAGTCAAGCCTTGACCAAGCAGCAAGATGGGACGATCTTCGGGAGAAGTTCCGCAGTAGCTGCACTCCAGGAGAAGAGGTGGTTCACAGGATCCCTTGGCGATCATCAGGAAGGAGTTTAGGTTCATATCCTCAATCCAGTCCATGGAGCGGACCTCCACAGAGACTCCGCAAGGGCACAGAGCATCCACGGCGGCCTGGGCGAAAATCGAGGGCGTCATCATGTTGGCTGGAGTATCGGACAAACGTCTGGCCAGATTCTGGGATTCGGCCTTGAATAAACCTCGCACCCAGGCATCCCTATCGCCCTTGCCATACATGTCCAGTTTGGGGGTCTGTATGCGGTTCTTCTTCCTCTTGTTGGCATTGTACCGCCATACAGCCAAAGCGGCACCCTCGGCCGCCTGTTCCGGATAGTCCATGGCGTCTACATGAACCTCGTACATTCCCTGCAGCTGCAGGGCTCTAGCTCCAGTGCCGGCCGCCACTCGGACATTCTCCATGCCCTCGTCCAATTCCTCATTCTCATTATAGGAAGCTCCCTGTTTGCCAACTCCAACGACGGCCACCGCCTGGTAATCTCCCTCAAAGCCGCTGAAGAGCAGCCCCTTACCAGCCGTACCATCCATTCCACGTTCACGGATCAGGGTCAACAGTTTGCCACCCAAAGCATCGTCCAAGCTCACGGCATTTGCTGTGGTCTTTGGTGGTTTGTCGCCATCTTTCTCGTAAACTCCGACAACCACACCCTTGGGTTTCTTGCAAGAGGTAGCATACCCGCGATACGCCACAGCCTCAGTCTTCCCAAGATTTTTCTTGGCCATCAACCGCAGTCCGGCGCGCACCAAAAACATATCTTTATATGACGGCATTCTTCAATATCAATTCAAGGAACACTGAGAATTTTGCCTAACGACGTATATTTTTTACAATTAATTAATAAGGTCTCACACACAAAATTTAAGTCACGCGTAGCTTTTCCACAATTTTTTTGTATTACTTAGAATTTTGTATGGTGTTTCTATTGCCAGCTCATCTGTAACCCGTACGATAAGCCAAGTAAAACTGAACTTTTCTATAGAAAGAACCTGTGTCTAGGAATGACAGTTCCCTAATCGGAAAACATGGCTAACTTGGATGGGTTTTATTAAGAAAATGGGCTATGAGTAGGTTTTATAGAAAGCAGGCGAAAGATTTTTTGAAATTCAGAATTTTTACTTAAGTTTCCAACTAATTATTAGAGTATAAAGCTTAGTGAAATATTTTTCCATCTACCTATTTCACACTTCATAATTTTAAGCCAAAGCTAATGGCTTCCAGAGTTGCCCACTAATATGCATTATTCTCTCCCCCCCTCCACGAAAGACTAGGAGATTGAGCTTTGGAAGGAATCCTGTCAACGACAAAACTCGCTGTCCAGGATTAAAACGCCCTCGACGCTATTTAAATGATAATGACAAAAGTGGAGAGTGTAAAAAGGAAAAAGGAGCAAAAAAAAAAGGAAAAAAAAATCATATGAATTTCAATTAAGTAGTCAACAAGCGGGTCCGGAAGCTGGGCCCTGATGCTCCGGCCAAGTGCACAGCGATAATAATAACGGCGAGTGGAAATAATTAATTTTCCAAACCAGTGAGTCAACGCAAATTAAGCTTAATTTTTGGTGTTGCATAACTAATTAAGGTGGGAACAGTCGTCAGCAGCAGCAGGCACCAGGCAGACTTTACAAGGAATATATATATATATATAGTATATAGTAGAGTAGCATAATGTTATGCAAAAATGTTGCACTTTAATTCTATTTGTCTGCGGGTGGACAATCTATAATTGGAAAGTATGCTCACGCTTATCTCTCGACTATTTGAATATGGAATTCAATTTAATGTTGCCCCAGCGCAGAGAAATATGCAAATCTTTTCCCTGCCAACACACACACACACATACACAGACTTACTCACACATTCAACTCAAATGTTTGCCTTTTGGCTTTGAGCAAGGTGAACCGAAGGGTCGACAAACATACACACTCTCAGTCTGAAAACCAAATTGGAAATTTGGTTATTTCTCGCCTTTGCGCTTGACCTGGTCGAAAGGCCGAACTGCCCAGCAGGACAAACTTTGTCTCCAACAAACCTGGTTAACATACACACATACACTATTGAGGGTGGCTAACTTTGACCAATGTCCGGCTTGGGTTTCCTCGTTATAAAATATTTGCCCAAGTTGAATAGTTCAAAGTATTTGATTTAAAATTAACATTTGTCTTTGGGCACTCGCTTGGAATTATGCAATGTGCTCAGAGATAAGCAGTCTTGCAATGAAATTGAAATTATTATTTGAATGGGATTTCTCACACCCACAGCTTACCTTTTATTATTGTTAAATGTTTGCATATTTCACTGGCCTAAGTTTGTGTAAAGTTGAGGTAAGACCTTTGAACAGCCATCATAGAAAAAGCTTTGATAGAGATTTGCCAAGTTAAAAATCAAAATTAGAAAATAAAATCAAAGTCAAAGTTAACTACCAATAGAAAACCCTTTTAAACTCATTTTTAATTTTAGATATTTTTTTTATTAAAATGTTTTTTGTCTCACTTTATTATAACTAAACGCTTAATAACTAAAGATTTTTGCAAATTACCTTAAGTACATTTAGTCTGAAGAGAGTGCAAGACACTAGAAATCAAAATCGAAATACTTTCTAATAAAATTGTTGATCTGCGGGCAAGATGTAGAAATGGGTTTCGAGATTAATCAACTGACCTTTGAAGTACACATACATAAAACATAATTAATGAACAGTTTTTAGATATCGTTTAGTATATATATATATAAGCTATGGACCGATTCGAGTTAATTATGTCGATGCACGTTAGGCGAGTATTGCTTGTGTTTGAGGTTTATCTAAGGATCGCTCCCGTAAGTTTAGAATTGTATTCGATTTAGGGCTGATTACGTATGCTTATGCATGTGTACAATCAATCATTCAATCATTATGCTTGTATGTGTCGTTTATAGTACATTTATATTGGGAGTTCATCGCGATTATGTAGTTAGGCTGTTAATAAATTTATCAAAACTTAACATCACATTGCTTCTTCGATTACATTTAGTTTGCCATATTTATAAGTAAGCCTTGAAAGATACAAACTTTGATAATATATGTGTCTATATACGTTGTTATAATGAAACTGATCAAAGTCTAGATTCAAATAACGATATGAATGTGCGATTCTGCGGCAGTTTTTTGTTTGATTGTTGTTTTTTTAAATATGTATCTCAATTGTTGTAACTAACTATGGGTGGTGGTGTTGGCGTATTTATAGTTTAGTATTATTATTATTATATGTACGAGTATGTAGTAGATCGATCGATATATGGGAGGAGCTGTGTCATGCGATAATACCCTAATGTCTAAAGTCTAAGTCGATGAAAGCATTGTAAATGCCTCGGTAAATGCATAATCCTTTAGGAAGAGAGTTTTCTGCTTTCTGTTTTTCGTTCATTGCTGAAGAAAGTATGTCTATGATGATGTCGGTGATAATAATGATGATTATAATGTGTCCGTTCTCCATGCTCCGTTTAATACTCCTCATTGGCATTCGATACCGATCCTCTTCGCATTTCGATTTACTAAAACTGATTGGACGATGACGACGGCATATTGAGGGCGAAACTTGATTCGTGATATCAGACATTGGGCTTCCGGAAAATCTCATTCGGATGCTGATTGCTACTAAAGTTCTGCCGTGTCGAGCATTGCTATAAAGAGAAAGAGGAAGAGAACCATAAGACACATACAATTAGTAAATATATGACCAGGAGATGGTTGTACTATATAAACCCACCGAAAGTGATTGCATTTTAATTACATTTCCATTGCATCTCCCACCCAGGTGGGCAATTACCTTGCATTTGGGTCACACCACAGGTGGGGTGCCTGGATAATGACAACTTAACTACCTTACGCCGCTTTTATTATTATTTTCCCTTTGATTTGACGTTGCGGTGTCAGTTCGGACAGCCGCCCGTCTCGAAGGCTATTAAAATAATTGCCAGTGAAATCGTTTATTATGGTGTGTGTGTCTGCCCTCGGTAGGCCAACAGAACAGAACACCACCCACCCTATCCTCATCAACCTCATTTTACCCACAAAATCCACCCCCCAGGGGCGTTGGTCCTCATTATCACTTACCGCTTGCTTCTTTTCCCAGGACTTCATTGCCGTTTTGTACTTCTCGAACTCGTGGCACCAGTCCGAGTAGATTTTCTGATAGTCATTACTCTTGTTCGGCGGAGTGCATCTGTTTTAGAATAAACAAGGTTTTTGGTGTTATTATGTAAGGGTAATTGAAAGTGATTATATCTAATACGCTAAGGAAAGTGTATTTTGGTCTAGTTTCGGAATATTTAATGTCCTTTTTATAACTAGCTTATAAATATGTTGCGTCATAAATAACTTTTCATTCAATTTAACGAATGTTTTGCAAAGTTCAGGACTTGCTTTTCAATTTTATCAACTCTTCCTTCAGTTTCCTAACATTGACATTAACTTTTAGCTTACCTGTGGGCATCCACCGTGATATTGTAGCTGCACAAAAGCGAACCGCCCAAATGGCAATCGTAACGACCGCCATCAGCTTCGTTCACAGAAACCACAACCAGGCCACGTTCAGTGGTCTCAATGTATTTGGTCGGCGAGTAACGAATCTCATAGCTAGGAAAAAAAGAAACCCATATTGGTTATATGTCAATCAAACTGAAATTTACATTCCACTCACCGTCCCTTGTCCTTGGAGTGATGATACCAGGTCACCTGTTCGTTCTTCAGCACTTCGGGGATTTTGACAAAACAACCCAAATGGACACTCTGGCCATAGGTCACCACAATCTTCTTTTTCAAAACACTTGAATCACAGATGTCGCTAGTCTCGTTGGCCACATCCTGGTTAAGAAAAGTTAAATTTTTAAGTTAAATACTTTTTGTTTAGAGCATTTAGTAGCATGTAGTTTTCCTATCTATTCCCCCTTTTAGCCAAAACTTAAATCAACCTACCTGCAGTAAATCCAGCTCGTATGGCCGGCACGTATTGGCCTCCTTATCCCAACCGCAATAGGGATCACGGACGCAGCGGAAGCAGTTGTCGTAACGGCGATTGCACATGGCCAGGTCGATTTGCTTGATGCGATGATCGGTGCCAATGTAGAGGCTCTTACGTGTCTGGCTGATTTCCATCACTTGGATGGCCTCATTCGGTGCCACCTCAAATATATCCAACAGCTTGGACAGCGACTCCCCGTTGCGGTAGTACTGAACGATTTTGTAAATGCGACCCAGATTGGTGCCCACATAGTAGACAATGTATTCCTGATTGAGGATGTCAATGCGGATTCTGGAAAAAAATAAATAAAAATATATATATACATGTAACCTTGATTTAACCTTATACTTTTAAAGCGGATTATGGGATTTAACACGTGAGCTTTTAATTTATGAACTCTTAAGGGGAAAAAGTATATGTTTTCATTACGAATTCACTTTTCTTAATGAGTTTACAACTTTAAATTGATTTTTCTTTAATTTTTGATAATTTGTTTGAAGGTTTACTCAGCTGTTAATTTTAATATATGACCAAAAAAGGAAACTTTTAAGAAATCCCTCTAGAAACTGAAGGAAAATATATTTAAACTTCCCAAAATTCCGCACATTTTTCTCTCTTACTAAAAAACCGAAAGGATTAAACTGGTAAAAACAAAATCACATATCACACCTGCAAATAGAAAAAGAAATATACATTTTTTTAGCAACTCACTTGTCAACGACGAGCTTGGTGAAGACCAAATCCCTCTTATAATAGACTGGATTGTTGTGCTCGTGATTTACGGCTTTGTCCATAAGTGGATGGGATCTGATGAAATTCAGGACGGTATCGGGCAGGTTTGATGTATCGTTGACACATGTACCCGGCCGTGGTTCCGGCACCCGGGAGTTAAGCACCGGCAGCCATGCGGAATTCGATGAAGATTGCTCCTTGAATTTACCTGTTTGCCAGGCGAGGGCGGGATAAAAAAAGAGCATATGAAAGATAGGTGGCGGTAACGTAAATAAGAGAGAGAAAAGGTAAAAAGTTTATCAAGCTCTGAATGCTGAGCTGCAATTGAAGACTTAAATCTACGAGCAAAGGTGTCAGCTGGTTCTCCTCTAAGCTGTCAGCCGGTGGTGGGATATATAAAAAAAGACCCCACACATGGCCATAATCCATTCAAATGGATTTTCTAATGCGATTTATGTTGCGCACGGCAACGAATCGAACTCAACTGAACTGAAATTACAAAACACTCAACACACACACAGAGAGATGGTAGAGACTTCTCTCGAATGGATAAAACAAATGTATAGATTGCAAATAAAATTTGCCAATAAGTTGCATGTGCCATTTCCATTCCCGTTGCCGTTGCCGTTTCCGTTTCCAATTTCCAAGTCAGTGCCAACCCAATCCACTTGGGGGACAATGGACAAGCGGAGAAAATTGCATGTCAACGCGATGTGCGGATCGCCCCTCCCCTCTCCAAAAAGGGTGGCGGTATGGGCTTACCATTGAACGCAGCCTGAATCTCGTTAATGTGGAAACTGCATACGGCAGATCCAATCAGGCCATTAGTGCTCGTCGTAAATGTGGCAAAGAATCGACTCTTATCGGAGGGCAGCTGATAGACCGATTGGATCTCGTTGAAATAGAACGGAAATTCGCCGGAGATGCTGCAGTTGAGTCGGGCCTTCAGGTAGGTGGCCCAATTGTGGGCCAATAGGTTCTTTCCACCAACGTCCTTCTTGCAAACCCGAGCGATTCTCGAATAGACGGCCTTGCCACAGTTGATGTATTCCACGGCTGTTTCACGGAAAAAGAAGTACACGTACTCTCCAATGTCGAACGATCCAACAAAGTTTGGTTCTGAAAAGTGTGAAAAAGTTAAGGAATTAGTAAAGAATAAACTGAGTTGATGGCTTACTTATTAGTAAATAATAAAGAAAGAACTTTCCTGCTTAAAAGTATCTACAATCTTATTTCATACTTACTGTCCAACCACTTGGAGTCGTATTTCAGAGTCCTCTTGAATTTATATTCCAAACGTTTAGCCGAAGTATTATACAGATCAGTACGGAAAATAACCGTGTCCGCCTTGGTGAACTCCGCATTGGTGCCGGAGTACTGTGGTGGAGAAACACAATTTACAGCCTCAGTTAAGGTCCGAGAGAAAGTTTTAGTTTATGTTAGCAATTTGCTTACCAGGCCGGGCAGACCACCCGGATTGCCATTCTCCACATAAATCGCCGTGGAGTTGTCGAGGGGATCGTAGGGGCACTTGGCAATGCCCAGACCCACGCCAATCACATATTCCGAGCGTGGCAGGTGAGTTAGATTTGCCTGAAGGTGGTAAGTACGAGAAAGGGTGAATAAGTAAAAATGTGTCTGTGTGTGGCATAAAAGATTCGCCTTCGAGTGTTTGACTTTAGTTTAGTTTCTTTATCTATGAACAGATGTCAAAGGCTGAGTGAGCAACTGTTGATTGCCATCTAAAGTCAACTGTCGGTGGCAATCTTTTCATGCGAAAACCTGAATAGAAAATGGCAAATGGCATATGGCATATGGCTTCTCAATCTGGTAGCCGACTTACATAGATAACATAATCCTTGGGATTGTGGGCGTTGGTGCCGCACACATAGAGCCTATCGCCCTGGTCCATTGACTGGATGACACGCACATGGTTCTTGCAATCGAAGATCTGCAAAAATACATATCGATTATAGGATATAGTTAGGAATATATATATATATATAAACACAAAGGGACGATGACAATGTTGTGGGGAAGCTTTTTCTTTCAATTTATTGTTAAGGGAATCATCAGGGAAGGCATCATCTGTTTTTGTCCCTCGAAACGCAGCTATATCGAAATAGTTTTCGAGTGTGTTACGTAATGCTGCAGCGAATTTGTGGCAGAAATGTGGACAAATTGCAATAGCACGCGTCGCTGCCGAAGCTAAATCAATTGGCAACAATGCAACGGAACGCTGCAAAAATTACTACCAGCGCCAGTGGCACACAAGCAGCTTTATGATGACTTAAGCAGGATGCCCATGTGGCCCCCTATGAAGCTTCTGTGTGTTAGTGTGTGTGCAACATGCAACATGCTGCTACTGCTGCTGCTGCTGCTGCTACTCCTGCCAGGAATAACTTGAAATTGATTTCGAATGAAAGGATTTGCTGTCACATTATAAACGAGTTGCAACAGAAGCGTCTGCCACATTGCCAGTCGATGGGATTTCCTTGGCTTTAAACTGCAATCGAGTTACTGAAATACCTCCGCTGGGATGTGATTTATTTGTGAGTATAAATATATATATGGGAATATATAAGGCAAGTGCAGAGGCGCACCGGAATTTAACAGGAAAAGGTAAAACAATTGTGGTCCACAAATTCGTAGTCAAGGGAAATATAAAATTCTTATGAATTCACAGAAAAAAAAACTGTACTTTTATGGATTTTCATGTCCTTTGTGCCTTGTCGGAATTTTTGATAATTTATTTGAAATTTAAAATCATTCTATGATTATATTAAAGGTAAATCTGTCTTATTTTTCTGTTACAACTCACCTGACTTTTGCCTTTGGAAACGCAGCTAACCACATCATCGCGTGTTGGCTCCAAGTTGATCACATCCCGCTGTAACGAAAAGTAAACCAAAGATAAATTAGCCAAATATCTAGCAAATCGAATCGAGTTCACCTGCCCCAGAGATTGCAGGCCATTAACCATTAGGTTAAAAGCTCACGTGCCGTGGCTTCTATCAATTCAAAAATTCAATTTACTCAAAAAAGCCGAAATACAAAAATTGTATATTGCAAATGTTGCGTCTGCCGCATGCGGCATAAACTACAACTAGCAGCAGCAGCAGCCGCCGCCGTCGTCGTCGTCGTCCGTGGCACCTTCAGAATGCTTTCAACTAAATTTATTTATAAATCACGTAATGTTACCCAAGCACACACGAAATATTTTCACGCACCAACCTCCATTTGCCGTCGCAGCCACCCAGAGGGTGGCAAAACCCACCAACCAACCTTCCTACCAAACCACCTACCCATCTACGCCCACTTGGGAGGCCAGGCAGTCGCAGCAGAGCGTTCATATAAAACCAAAATCATGTATTATTTAGTTGAATTTGCATTTGGCGCATAAAGCAGCGGGAGCAGTGCGAGGAGGAGCAGCCGGAGCCGGAGGAGGAACAGGTGCAGGAGTTGGGTGGGTCACATGGAATCACTGAGGCAAAATAGATAGCAGTTATCTAGATTAAATTCACGAAATGGTAGAAGTTCATTTTAAAAAAAGAAAGTCAATTTTTCTTATCATTTTGGGTGAGAGTTGAGAAAATTCTAAGAGAAATATATCAGAAAAATGTCAAAGGCGGGTTTCATCGTCCTTCTAACCTTTGAAAATATGTTTCAGTATTAAGAAAACTGTGTTTTACATATTAAATACAAGCTTGACATGGAATAAATGATAGTTCATTGAGTATCAAAGAGGCTTTCAGCAGGACTAAAGGATTCATCTTTCTTCTAGAATCAAGCTCCAATAGTAAGGAATTGCATAGCAAAACTAATTTTATAGATTTTAAACCATTCCTTTATGAAATCTCTAGTTTTCTTAACAATTATCATTTATTCTCACTGTGTATAGGCCAGAACCAAATGATGCCCACGGCGAATGTATTCGCACTTAACCGCATAAAATATATTGACGTATCCTGGCTGGCGAACATGCTACAAGGAAATATAACCTCTTAGACTTTTACGATTCGGCTCGGAGATGCGTTGTAGTAGGGCCTCCTGGAAATGGAATGGAATGGACTAGAGGATCCGGGACCTGTGAGAAGCAGCAAGTCAGGTGTACGATGCTCATAAAACAAACTTTTGCAAGTCATAAATTCATAAACAGCCCAAGACCAAGACCAAGACACGGGCTGTAGCACTTCCTGTAATCGAATTGCCTGGCAAATGTTGTGGCAAGTTCGCGTATGTGGCCTCTCTTCCAAAAAAATATATCTGGGCAACGCATAAACCTGAGCCTGAGCGAAACCGAACCAGTTCGGGGAATTACATCCGGAACATAATGCCCGGACAGGAGAGTGCATATTAAATATGTTTTTTGGTCCCCTTTTTTTTTTTTGTCATGTTGGAAGTTGGCAGTGGAACCTTTGGGTTAACTAAAATAAACATTTTTTGTGCTGCTGCTGCTGTTGCTGCTGCGCTGTGGGAATCGAAGATTTGTGGCTGTTGACGTCGTTGTTGCGCCATTTGAAGTGCGCCTAAAAGGCTGCTAAGCCGGTGTATTGTGCTGACAACGTTTAGATGTCGCTTTATGGCCACAAAAAGCTGCAAGAAGCTTAGCGGCCATTTGGAAACTATGGCAAACACATACAACCCCCTCCACTCCTCAGCTCCTCCACTGGCAACGTGGCGTATAATGAATTTTTAACAATATGCCACAGAACAGCAACAGCCGCAAGCAAAGTTGTTTAGCCCAAAAGCTTTTCACGATTTTTTCTTTTTTGGTTTTCCTTTGCTGCTGTCAGTTAGATTTGTGGCTCGACCCTCTGGACAACAAACCACCTCCCACCCCATTTGGTGACCTTTGGCGACGAAAGGACTTAGCCTAAAAGCGTGCTCTAGGATTATCATATTTGAGGCATTTAGTATAATCAGTGGCGAAGTCATGGCAGCGTTACTTACATTACAATTGGACGAGGAGATGTTCTGCAGGTTCACACGGAATACGCGATCCCTGGGAAAAGGAAGGAAAATATATATTTTATAAGAAAAAGATAGGTTGATGTGGTTCGGTATCAATAACTTAAAGGCTTCACAAGAATTATGTATTTTTATAGGCAAAGAAAGTCAAAAGTCGAGTTATATCAGAACTTATTCTTATTACTTTTCACTCAATTATTAATCTTTGTGGTTTGATTATTGAATTTTAGTTTATTAATAAGGTTATATACTCACATAGCTCCCACATAGAGCGTATCCCGATCCTCGTTCATATGGAATGTCCGATAGTACAGCTTGCCGCAGTTGAACTCCCGCACATGATCTGTAGAAATGAGAAGATGAAAAGAGGGAGAAATATTTCTGTTAAGTAAACTCAATATTTGCTCAAGAAATTTTCCCTAAGTGAACCGGACATGGCGTCTAGATAGTGTCAACAAAGTTTCCATTCCCGAACAGAAACGGCGGACAGGGCTGGCCACAGGCAAACAAGGAGCAGGAAGCTCGGTCTGGGAGGGAGAGGGCCAAAGATACAAATAGATATCCCATTTCAATCAAATGAAATTTTCCTTCAACCATCTTTTTTGTGCCTTGTTTGAAAAATAAGAGAGAAGTGTCTTGTTTATTTACATTGAAGTTTTCCGCGTAGCAAAGCAGAAAATAAACAGGGTTTTGGGGCACAAAATGCTTTTCCAAAACTCCCGGGCAAACAAGAGTCATTAATTACAAGTATTGTATTATGTTAATTTCTGTGACGTCGCTTTGTCTGCAAATTGTTTGCCCAACGGGATGATGCGTGTTCATATACGAGTCTGTGTATGAGTATGTTTGGGTATGTATTTGTGGTTATTATGTGGTTATTGCTAAATGCTGAGCACACAATTCTTTAATTAAACTAATTTGTATTTGCCCGCCTGTCACTCATCGCTACTTCAATATCATCAGCAATTAATTTTGCCGCCAAGGAGCTGATGGGAAATTATGAGATGAGCAAATGGGGGAAGGGCTTCCAGACAGATATGGGAAGCTGTGGCAGCCAAAAGTGTCAAATGTCGTTCAAGTAATATGGATGACCGAGGCATTATCCCCCTCAGTGGATGCCGGACAATGGCCAAAAGTATGACAGAGGTCAGCAAAAGGAGCAAACAAAGGGCAGGACCCCAAAAAAAAAAAAAATAAACTCAAACCAAACTGAGAACCCAAAAACTGGCATCCGATTTATGCTCATGCTCAACACAATGGAATATGTAAATATGGAAAGGAAACCCAAGAACCCACCCACCGGCAGAAAATGTAGCTATTTTTGATTTCCGATTTCGAGTGAATATTTTTTTTTTCGTTGTTGTTGTTGTGATGGGGGAATATAGGGTGAGAGGGGAAAACAACGGGCAACCTATTGGCCAACTACAATGGAAGTGCGCTTACATATACATTCACTCGCATCCTTGTTTGCATGCACAATTCGGATAGAATGTCCTTGCCAAACAGGAAGTCGACTTGTGTACGCTTGAAATGCTTTTGTACATATTTTTATTGTGAATGCCTGTCGAACTTTCCTGCTTTTTCTTCAAGTTTTTCCCTTTGCCTTTTCTCTTTTTTTTTGTAAGTTTTTCTCTCTCGCATCTTAAAGTCGAAAAAACAGAGTCTTTAAGGCTGCAAAAATAGGCAGACAAATAAACTAATAAATAATTTGCATTTACGCAACTTAATTGGCCACATTGAGTTGCGAGATTGGCAAGTCAATATATCGCAGTATTTGCCCTTTGAGCCAGAAAACTATAAATGTTTCATGGACACTGTGGAATGGTTAAATCTCGCCCGGCTCTCAACGATTTGCGAAATTGTTTATGGGGGCCAATTGTCATCGGGAAAGCCAGTAAAAACATATTGCCACGATTTCATGACTGGATTAAGCCAATAAAAATATGGCAAATATTAACATAAAATTGATGGCACTAAAGAACGTGAACTCTAGCGAATCGAGGTTATCCAATCGGATTATGTGACAGAGTGAAGAAGGCTTTCAAGATGGTTGGTATGGAGCATATTGTATCTTTTCTTTGGTTTTGAAGAAAAGAAGAAGGATACAAGGATGTATCTAGTGCCTTAACTAGTTTAAGTTGCAATATATATCCCTCTGGATCTTTTTAACTTAATCTTTAACTAATCACCCTCAGCCAAGATCCGTTTAAAAATCCAATTCAAATCCCCCCAATGCGCCGCTTAAGCTTGCCCAAAGGCAAACTGTAAAAATCCTTTCAAAATTTGACATTTAAGATGTGAACTTTATTTGCTTTTAATCCAAGTCCAATCAAAATCAAATTGCATTTACGAGCTGCGCCTTTGAGTAACCTAAGGAAAACGAAGGGAAAAAAAAACAACAAACGCCAAATTTTATATTCCTTTTTTTTTCTTGGCTTGGCAATTTTCTTTTGGGATTTTCATTGGGCTGAGTAGGAGAGTGCTTATGTGTATGAGCATTTATGACTCCGCCATATATGTCAATAATTTTTATGCTCTTCATAAATATGCGTTTGGCTTTTACGACCAAAACGTTGCCCCACCAACCGCGTGGCAAAAAACGGAGCGAAAGGAGCCGAGATGAGGCAGTCAAATCAATTTCTGGAAGGGAGAAAATGACATTTCCGAAAACGTTATTATCAAATCAAATGCGAGTGTTGGCCAAAAAGGGGGGTGAAGCCGAGGGGATTGCAATGAGCATATTGTAAATTTAATGTTGTGCCACCCACTCAAACCTCCCATTTGACCGTGCCCTAAGGCAGATGCTGAGAGTTACTATATGTAGATGTATATATATATCCCCATGTCAGTTGCAGGTGCACGGACTCCGGTTGACATTTACCTTTGAAATGTTAAGGTAAATTCCAAATTTGTCGCAAAAGATGACACACAAACTGTTGCCGGTACTCAACTCAAGGCTTTTATGTCGAATCAATACCCTGGAGCTACTTTCAAGTTTATTCTAAGCTCGCTATGCAAATAATCTTTAAAATGGGAAAACCCGAATTTCCTTTGATAATGTTCCAACATTCTAAAGGGAGTCTAGACAATAGAAAGATTGCGAAAAAAAGAGAGAAAGCAGGACTAATCAACGAAAATGGGAAATAAAAGATGAAGAAAATAAAGCAAATTTTTTGTAAGTTAAACTTTGGTTTAAATATCTGGTATAACGGAAAGTTAGAGCTTTTCCGATATCAAAAATATATAGAAACATTTCCTTTTATCAATAAATATTGGTTTATAAGATGGAGTCAAAGATCTACCCCATATAAACTGAAAATTAAACCCTTTATTTGATTTCCCTGCAAAATATCCCTGCTGAAAATTCCCAGCTATTTCACTGCTTTTGCTAATTATGAAAAATTCACGTCGGCTCTAAGCACTCGAAAAGCCGTCTAGACGTCTGCACCTGGGCACCACCTGCTAACTGCAACTGAAAAGGGAGGTGCCCAGAGAGGGGTGTATGGTTGAGAAAAGCCAAAGAAGAATAGGATTTTCCGGAAAAGGAGGAAAGGGGTTTTCCAACCGAAATGCTTACCCAAAGTGGTTGCCATTTCATTTGTACAAAACAAAACGAAACAAAACACAAAATATAATTAAAACGCATATGTGCATGGTAAATATACTTATTGTCAGCACTGTACTCGGCACTGGAATGCCCAAAGGCTTCGAAATGCAGCTTTAACTCTATACTATACGAGGTGTGTTCAAAAAGTAAGGTGACTTTTCAAATTTCGCGGGCAACATATTTTCGATTATCGTTTTTTTTGTTTTGTTATATTGGTACACTCTTCCCTAACATCTGTACCAAGTTTCAATGGAACATCCTCTTTTGTTTGGTTGTGAGAGGCGTAAAAGGTACAAGTTGTTTTGCGAGCTCGGCGATTTTTTGCTTTTTCGGTCTTGGCTCGTCTGGGCTCTTCCATTGGGACGATTGGGCTTTGGTTTCGATATCATAACCATATACCCATGATTCGTCACCAGTTATGACCCTTTTGAGTAAATCTGGGTCGTCGTTGACGTCATTCAACAGCTCTTGAGCGATGCTCATGCGACGGTTCTTTTGGTCAAAATTCAGCAATTTCGGAACAAACTTCGCTGACACACGACTCATACCCAAAACGTTTGAAAAATTTCATGGCACGAGCCAAGCGATATACCGACATCTTCAGCAACTTCTCTGATAGTGATTCGACGATTTTCCAAAACAATTTTCGTCACTGCTTGAACGTTTTCATCAGTTGTTGACGTGCTTGGGCGTCCAGACCGAGGCTGGTCATTGGCATCTTCCCGGCCATCTTGGAAGAGTTTGTACCACTTGTACACATTTTTTTTACTCAGAACAGTTTCACCGTATGCCACTGTCAACATTTCAAGTGTTTCAGAGCACTTAATTTTATTTTTTACACAAAATTTGATGCAAATCCTTTGATCCATATTTTTCGATAGCAAAAAATCGCCGAGCTCGCAAAACAACTTGTACCTTTACGCCTCTCACAACCAAACAAAAGAGGATGTTCCATTGAAACTTGGTACAGATGTTAGGGAAGAGTGTACCAATATAACAAAACAAAAAAAACGATAATCGAAAATATGTTGCCCGCGAAATTTGAAAAGTCACCTTACTTTTTGAACACACCTCGTATACACTGCAGTCATGAAATGTCGACAGGAAGTTTTTCGAGGGAGGAGGGAGGGTGTGGTGCGAAACATTTTCAACTCAATTTAGTTCATTTTATGGCAGCAGTCAGCAGCAGCAGCGCCAATGCGCAGCAGCAGCGCAAGTTCATTTTGTTGCAAAATAGCAAAAATGCAAAAAACCCAAAGAGCGCACTCATAAAAAAGCATCAAAAGAGCAGTCAAAACACCACTAGACAGCGCAGCAACTGCAATGGCAATAGCCAGCATACTACCAGGAGTGTATCCTAGTTATATGGCCTGGACATCGCCCGAAAAGCTGCCAACAAAAACGCAACAAAATGCGGATGCGGTAACTGTTTCATTTTTGGTTAAAAACGAGGTGGAAGCAGAGGTAGAGCAACTTCATTTGATGAGCTCATGTGTGTGAGAGTTTGTGCCACATAAACGGTTCAAATAGTTTTAAAACCTCACTTTTTTATACCCTTGTAGAAGGTATTTTCATTTTCATTTTCAACTGAAATTTAATGAGCAAAAAAAAAGGGAAATTAGGGGAAAAGTTTGGCTTTTATTTTCGGTTATTGGAGAAGGTATTTATAAAGGGTTCGGAACATAAAAAACTGAAGGTAATCAAAACCACGTTGAGGGCAAACTTTATTTAAATCAGGAAAAAATATATTTTTCTTTGTAAAAAAAACATTGAATAAAAATTGATTGGAGGGCGAGAGGTTGTATTCTATTAAATGGAATTTTCATTTATTTTCATTGATGGAAACTTGCATTATTTATTTCTGACTAATTAAGAGGGTTAACTTCAGTATTTGTTACATAAAAAAATGATATTTTTATCATTAATTAAAGTAATTTACTTACAAATGGTTTCCCAAAATGTATAAGTTCCTAGCCTAGCCTTGTTACCCTATTCTCCCCTGACGTTAGAATACATTTTTTCTGGTGTTTTTAACCCCATCACCTTTATGGCAAATTTGCTTGGTAACTAAAACATTCTGCGGCTCGCTTAATTTGCCATGAATTCAGAGAGTCCAGGCTGCAGCTGCAAGTCCTGTTTGCCACTTAAGTGCGCACAAAGCCGCAAGTTGCTTGCCATATGCAACATATTTTGGCCAGACAAAAGAGAATGCAAATTCTGGTCTTTAGCATGCTTAGCCTAAGTCAATTAAGCCAACACAAAATGCAAATACCCAAGCATATATAATATATATGTAATACTCCTCCATGGCCAGTGAATGAAAATTTAATTAAATTTCACCTTAAAATGATGGGCAAATTGAAATTAACGTTAAGCGAGTTGTTTGCATCAATTTAAGGTGATTGAATTATGGCAAACGACAAAATCTGTGGCCTAACTGCATTTGCAGTTGATTGATTGCATTTGGCCTGCTGCCTGTGCTAATTGCTTTTGCAACATTTTGCCGCACTTTGCTGCTATCGGACGCAGCTTCCTCTCTTTTTAAGTTTTCCTCTGTCTTTCCTCGACCTTTTTTTTCTGTTGTCGGCTCTTTTCCTTCACCCTGCAAGCGATAAGCGGACTTCCTCTGCTGTAATCAGCAACGCCTACATTAAGTGGGCTCCATCAATCGAATGTTGCATAACTATGTGTAGATATTTGCAAGGCCACTGGGAAAAATCAAAGACTTTTTAAGCTTAAAATTAAGAATTTTAGATTCAAATAAGATATGTCTCCATATATAAAAAATTCTACATAAACAAAGAGACTTTAATGGGTAAAAAATATAGCTCTTTGCTTTAGTATCTCATTCTTATTATAACCTAAGAAAGATTACCTTAAGTCAAACTTAACCCAAGTTTCATTTTGGATTAAGCAATAAATTTAAATTAATAATGCCAGGCTAACCTTCCCGAATCCTTTGCTGGCTTTTTCAAAGTTTTCTTACAGATTAAAGTTCTAGAGCGGCGTTGTTTTTTCCAAGTGGACTTGGCAAAAGTTGTCCAAGGAGAAACGTGATTTTCCTTCCGTTCTCGCTGGCCAACTAAAACTTGGTCAAAAGGGTCCGCTTTAAACACACTTTTAATGATGTTGACGCCGCCAACGCCGATGCTTGTTGCACCTTGCTTGGAAATTGTTCGTTCCGATTCGCAGGGAAGCAATATTAAGCCGCACTGTGCACAACTGTAGGTGTCGGGCATTGCATTGAAATTCAATTTAGCGGGAAACTTTCCATTGTGAGTGAGCGACTCCATGCACAGCTCCACGCTGACATGCTTTGGGTGGTGCCCCGGGTACTCGGTTCCCGGCTTGATTCCCAGGCTCAAAGCCAGGTAAATCCCCACCCAATAAAGCCACCCGGCTCAACAGCAAAGGGGTGGGCTCAATGAAAGAGCTACTGTGTGTGAACAGCCTTTGACATTGCCATGATGAAGTGGAACTTGCTCAGCTGCAGCCAAACCCCACAGCTACTCCCTCTAAAAAGCTTGACAAAAAAAAACAAGAAAATACAAAATATAAAAGCCGGGGGCAAGAACTCTGCTATCCCTTTATCGCTTTTGTCGTTTTAATGGGTCAGCAGTGTGCCTACAGTTTGACAAAGACCACAACCCACAGCAAAGCTCTTAAAGCTGTTGCATTTAGAAAAAAAAAATCCAGCAGACAACTTGCAGCCATTAATCCCCAGCTCTAGCTCTATTTGTGGCAATAAAAAATTAAACTAAGAGTTGAAAATAAATAAGAAATGATGGCCATAATTCTAAACTGTCGCACAGCTCTCTTGAAAGTTTTATTTGCTGCAGCTATTGTAAGTGGCAAGCCAAGAACAAATGAGTTCATTATGCTTAGATGAAGAGTTATGGTTTATCTTGAAGTTGGATATGATATATATTTGAATAATTAAAAAGTTTAGATATGGAAATAGTTTGAACCAATGCAGAAGTCAATCATGTTTAATAAATGCTTAAGGAAATACAATAATAATGGAAAATTGGAGCATCAGTTAATGACTTTTACCTAGATTTAGCTTTAAACTTATAAAAACTTATAACACAAAAGTCTTTCCGAGCATTTTTAAGATCTTTATAAATATTTAAAGTAATCCCCCGAACACTTAATTGTTTAAATACAATGAAATGTGTGAATTTTATCAGCCAACTTTATTTTTCAAACCATTTTTTTAGGTCAGCGGGACGCCTGTAGTTCTGTAGTTCAACCTCTGGCTACCTGCCGGTCAAACGAGTCAATAATCTTGGGTTAGCTCTTTATAATGAAGTCATTACACCTTATGTCAAACAACAGGCCAACTTTGTATCTTTGTATCTCTTGTAGAGAGCCCAAAAGAAGAAATAATGTGGGGAAGAGCCGTCTGGCAGACACAAAGCCAATATAAAAATAGAATTTAGGAAAAGAGTGGAAGAAACATCTGTCAAACCGCTGAGTCAACCAATTGAAGTGGTTTAGGTGGTGAGAGAGCAGCGGGAAACGGGAGTGGGAAATTCCATGGAGGGACATAAATTTAGTATTCCCCTAAAATAAAATGCAATTAATTTCATTTAAATCAATAAAAATAGTGCTTTTTCATTTACAGACGAAAGAAAAAAAAAACATGTAATAAATTTGCCGCATCAACGGGGGAATTTATAGTTGACATTTTAGAGTTTTGTTGTTATTCAGTTCGGTGGCTTTTGTGGTTTAAGTGTTTTAATTTATGGCTCGGTGATCGGCTTCTATATAGTGCATCTGGTGCAGTCTCCAGCCTGCAGTTCTGTATATAGTTTTTTCGATTTTTGCCAATATATATATATTTGGGTATATAACTCCTTGGAAAAGTATGCGCAAACAGCTTGAACGATTCTCTAATCGCCTCACGTTTTCCCCAGGGGCAAGTGCTTAGCTATTGAGTTTACAGCGCGCAACATGCGGCAAGGACCAAAAGTTGTTGTCGGCACGTGAAGTTTTATGCTGCACTTATAGCTTATAGTTAAAGATATAGTTGAGACAAGGGGCTGCTGCTGCATGACCGGCATTCTGGAACGTGGACTATTAGAAAATGTTTACTGGTCTTGACCCGAAGTTGGTTCTTTTTTTTCTCTTGTTTCGCCTTTTCTGGCCAAATGAGATTTAAATTTTTTATACAACATTCTCTACGTTCTCTTTTGGATGATGGCTTTTTGCTGTTCTACCACATTTATTGAACTCTGTGGAACTTTCAATCAACCTCAAGATGATAAATTAATGCTGCCCAAAAAATTATTAAGCAACATGCCTCAGCCGTAAAATCGTAAAGAAAACCAGTTTCTTGCCTCTCATAGATGAATTTTAAATAACTTTTAGGTCTTAATGACTCAATAAAACTGGTCAAAAATTCAGAAATGAACAAGAGCTTGGGAAAAAGCCAAAAGGGAAACCGACTTTGATTTCGCATTTAAATGGTAAAGTATTCACATTCTTCTTGTTTGAGGAGGTTGGGGGAAGGGAAGAGCGGGCGGACTGGTATTAAGAGAACCCAGTCAATTATATATCATTCAGGATTTATCTCTGTGGATTATGGGGGCTGCATATGGTTAAAATATGATTACATTATTGGTATTTGTTTAAACATGAAATATGCATATGAATAGCAACAATTCACAATTGCACCAGGCCAGTGAAATATTCACTATGAATGGCAACGCATTAATATGCAAATTATAAATAACAACAACAATAACAATGCTCCAAGCCAGAAATGGAAAATGGCTCAAACCAACATAAAGGACACGGGGGAAAAAAGTGCAAAAAATAGGTGCAATTGAAATCGAACCAAACGAGATAAATAATAAAGGCATAAAGAACATGTGCGAATATTATGGCAAATAAATTACAAATTTGTTGTTGCCCGAAAGATTGAAAAATAATATTGGCCAACTGCTAAAAAACGGATGGGCAGGAATATTTCGGTTAACCGAAGATCTGAATACCCTAAAGGGAACGTTAATTAACACCATTAAAAGGTTAAGTGTTGTTGTTATTATAGAAATGGTTAGGACTATCAATTGATAAATATTGTTATTACACTATACATATATTCAAAGTTGAAAATGTATAAGTTCTTTCAACTCGCTGAATGCCCTTCTCTATCAACACTTTTTACCAAAAATTAAAGTACCCTTTAGGGTAGCCAAGAAAAACCGCTGAACATGAAATTTAAATTTATTTAACAAATGTATTTTAATCCTGTGTTACCCCAACCCCTCTCTCCCAATATTTTTTTACCGTTAGTTGGCTAGTTACCTGCACTGTATTTCCCATGGTTGTTGCCCTGATCGTTGCCAGTGCAACAAGGACGCTCATAGTAAAAGTTCCAGGTGTTTTCGTAGTCCGCTGCCGTCTCGCTCACACTGCAGGATAGTAGCAGTAGCAGCAGGAGTGCGAGGAGTGGCGTTAACTGGAGTAGCGGCATTGCGTGGGCGGTGGCGAGCGAGTGAGGGAAGGCGAAAGCGACCCTCAAACCTCAAATTGGATTACACAGAGAAAGAGATAGCTAGTGCGATTGCTTGTTGATTTTACTGTTGTGTGTGGAATGTGAAAAACCGGCGCCGTTTTTTCCCAGGAATAACTGTTAACACATTTAACTTGTATTATTTTTACACACTTTTGCGGCAATTGCAATGGAATTGATTTCACTGGCAAATGGATTTTAAAATAAACTTCTTCCCTCGGGCGATTTATAGCGCCCCTGTGTTATTTTCTTTTTTTTTATTATTTATTCCCGTTTTTCTTCTTCCTTTTTTTTGGGGACCCGAAGTGGTCGTAGTGCCAATTTCGTTTCGGATTAATTATGTATGCGTTGCAGGCGCATAAAGGCGTAATGCATTTTACACAGTTGTGTGTTCAATTCGGTTTTCAATTCGATTTCAATGCATTTAGCACTCGCAAAGCATGTGCGATATAAAGATAAAGGCAAAAAGGAAACTTGAAAACTGGTTTATTATATGCCCACGCTCCCGGGGAAAACAAAAGGGAAATAGATAAAAGAAAAACTCCCAAGAGAGGGCAAACAAATGCGTTACTTTAATGTTTTAACAATTTAAAAGGCATTGCCTCAATAAATAAATGATTAATCTGCAAATATTTCCTTGGTTTCAATTTTTAATATTGCCTTTAACTCGCACACATAAACACATTCACGCACTTTACACACACAAACACACACACTGACAAAGAGAGCCAGAGATACACACTTGAGTTGTTGTTGGGAGTTTTGGTTTATTGGAATTTCGAATATTGAACTCCGAATTGAATGAACTGCATTAGGCCAATTGGTTTGGTTATAGCTTAAAGTATTTTCTTTGAATGAACACTTTAAAATATTTTATAACTACCGCTCAAGGAAGTTTACACTTGAAAAAAGAATAAGAATTAAAACCGATCGGAAACACCAAACACAAAAGAACAACCGACAACAAGTAGAAAAAGAAAACAACAACTGCACGATCACTCCGACGGCGCAGCTATGAGAAATACACTAAAGCGTTGTTGTCGGGCAAATATCGCAAAGCGGTTTTGGTATATACCAACGGCTATGATCTTTTAGTATTTCATCGTGAAATTCAAATATTTCAGGGGTTTTATTTTGTATTATAAATTCAATAGTAAAAACTGAAAAAAAAATCAAATAACGATTTATTAACAAAATATTTTATATTTTTTCTCGGGACGAAAGTCAGTAATGCTTGTTAAGTATTTTTGGCGAGCAAATTTGTATTTCTTCCAATGGTTGTTTCTGAAATATATATATATGTTACCTAAAAAGTGACTGTTGAGACTCATCGCATTGTTAAAATAAATAAAAACGTTTCATGAAGTGGCCTAAACTTTTAATATAAACTTTTGTTTAATATTCGTGGAACGTCGTGCTTTTACAGTTGCCAAAAATTATCCTTGCTTCGTGCCACAGAATCGCATTGCAAAATGGCGGCATTCAATTTTCGTATTTTACCGTGCGGAAGCGGCGAAGTGATTTTTAGCAAGGACAACAAGGACGACAATTTTGGCAATAAGCAAACATTTGCTAAGCCAGACAAACAAAACGGCTAGATGGATGGCTAGATGGCAGAGTACAGGTATGCAGACGGGCACGAACTCTTGCATTTAGCCGCCTCGAGCGGCAATTAAACACAGTTTGGCAGTGTCTCTGGCATTTGAGTGTCTGCCTGGCAAAATATTTAATTAAAAAGCAAGTCGGTTATGTTTTCGTTTTCGTCTCTCCTTGATATTTTCAATTGTGTGTGGGTGCAACCGTGTGCGAGTGTGTGTTTCCGACATGGGCGTACGGATAGGGGTTGAGTTCTATTTAATTAAAATATTTTATAAGCCTAGAATTTTTGATCTCTGATTATCTGATAATATCAAGGATTTCTTTGTCAAAATATTTTTTAATTTTTTTTATTTTAATTTTTATGTAATCACTTAATAAATAAAATTATAATTATAATATTGAAAACCCCTTTGGAAATTCCTTTGTAAGACACTGCTAGTCATTGTCTGTCTGGCCTCTTCTCTCTGTTTGCCTGCTAATGAGTTTTCCCAGCATCACCACACTAGTTGTCCTCCTCGCACGCCCCCAACATACACCCACACGCCCCAAAAGAGCACTTGCATCATGATACTGTTGAAAATTTTTGACACATGTTCACCCATACCAACCTTCCTCAATATTCCCTTCTCATTCTCTCGTCCGTTGTTGTTGTTGGTGCCTTTGTAGTTGCTTTGATGTTGGGTGCTATTTTTGGGAATTTTTTTTCCTTTTTCGGGGGATAGCCTTTCAAGTGCAGCAGCGACAACGTCGCCATTGTCATTTGTTTTCGCAAACGTTTCTTTCACACAATGTCAACTTTCAACAAAGGACTTTAATTAAGTCCTTAATGACAGCTTAATTTAGCGCACTTTGCCGAGCGCGTATGCCCCAACACGTACACAAACAAAGGCACACAACGCACACACACACACATAGAGTGTTCTTCACACACACGTTGCCTGTCCTGCTCTAAGTTAATTGGGGATAGGATGGGAAGGTTGTGTTTAGTTTTTTCACGCTCTCTTCATCTTGGGGATGTTCAGTTTTGGTCAATTTTATCAAACAAAAACTTTTTTAAGGGGGTAAAAAAGTAGTGACAACCTCAGCTAAAATGTACGAAATTAAATGATTAAATTGTTACATAAAAATTATAACAAATTCAATTTACTTCTTTAGAGATAAAATCTTAATTTGGTAATAAAATATATATATAAAATGCTCTATAAACTTAACCGCACTTGTATTATTTATTGCTAACTAAAACTACTTCTTTTATTAAGGGTGCACAATGGAGAGGATGACAGCGTGGGAGAGTGCTTAAATAGCATTTTGATTATGCCAAATAAAACATGAAAACTTGTCTCGCCAAACATTGTTGGTCGCTCAACTTGTCAGCGGCCAGCAACTTTCCATGCATTATATAAAAAGTTGGCCAAATAACCAGCAGCGAACTACACCAACACACACACACACACACACACCACACATACAAAAACAGCTTGGAAAAGCGATAAAAACCATTTGTTGTGGATGTCCTGTTTTGTTATTTGTTGTTTTGCTGCCTGTCCTTTGTTGTTTTGTTGTTGTCCCAAGTTGGCTTACTCAAGTTACTTACAAAGATTTCAATGCACTTTCTTCCTACCAACTTGTTCGCGCAGAAAGCCAAAAAGCAAAAAAGGAACGAAAAAGAAAAGCTGGACTGACCGACAATAAGAGCAACAACAAGTACAGTAGAACGGGCCTATCAAGAACTTTGTAATTTGCTCTGCGGTCCTGAGACGAAATACCCAACGGATTGATAACATATTGCTGCATACTTTTAGGTGGATTGATGATATTATAACATTTTTGTTTAAAAAAACCTCAGTAAAGTTTTAAGACTTATAATCTTAATCAAAAAAGTTGTTATTCATAAATTTTTTTTTTCAAATATAAATCTGGTTTCTGCTAGCAAGTTTCGACTGTGGAAAAGCATTGGCATCAGCGGCGAACAAGAACAAGAACGATTTGACTTCTGGAAACTGTCAGAGCAAGCAAATGGCACTAAATATTAAGTTTGCCGTTGGAACTTGACCAGAAAAAGTAAACTACGACCAAAACTTGGCCGGCCAGAACTAATGAAAGCTTTCTGCAAGTGTGAGGAGTGTGTGTAGAGTGTGTATATGTGTGTGTGTGTGTTTGGGCTAAAAGTTTTTGCCTTTTGGCTCGACCACAGAATTTCTCATGAGTTGGCGCTGCGGCTGCGGCTGCACTTGTTTCAAGTTCAATTAATTTTAAGTGCGGCAGCAATTGTGTTGCACATTGTTGTTCCACTACTCGTTTGTTTACAACGACTCTCTGTGTGTTTTTCCTGCTTTTTCCCTGCCTTTGGCCCAAGTTGCAGGCTCTTTTTTCTTGCCTTTTTACAGGGATTCAACTTTGGCCTGACATGCAATGTCAGCGCCTGTGTTTATGCTATAAATAATGCAGCATATTTTGCATAATGACAAGTTATCGCACACAAAACATAATTGCATGTATTTGTAGTGCATACTAGATGACGTCACCTTGGGTATGGGGAGAAAGAGTTTCCTTTTTACCCTCTTTTGATCCTTAAGAAGTTGTTAAAATAATAATTGTTTAATTTTTCATTTCATTCCTATTGATTAATTGCTATTTTGTCTATGACAGAGATGATGATTATCATAAATCAGAAAATATTGTCCATTGCTAAACCTTTTTGTGACTAAAATTATTTCCATGACATTAATTAGATTGCCTAAACCTGAACATATATCCCTAAGATCAAATCAGATATAGCTAGGAAGTAGGTGTCGTCGTAGTCAGCTGGAATTTTCCGGGATTAGTGTCACATCAAACAGACAGATTGCGGCAAAGTGCAGCTACGGAGAGATAACAACAAGAGTTGCAGAACAAGTAGCGAAAGAGCCAGATAAACAAATCTTGTCTAGCCGGAGAAAGCCAGAGGGATAAGGGATAAATGGAGAACTAGAACCAGAGCCAGGACCAGAGCCAGGGCGAGACCCAGAGACAGACTTCAGACTTCAGACTAGTCAGGAAGTTGGCTTGGCAGCTTCAAAGTCTAACTCGTCGGCAAACAAAACTTGCTGGCAGCTTTTCCTCCTCCGCTCTCTCTCTGTTTTTCCTTTCTTCTTCTCCTTTTTTTTTGTCTCCCTTTCCCATGTGCATAATTAAAAAAGCATTTTGGACGCCAGCTAGACGGAGTTCAACTACTTTCGGATTTATATTGTGTCACTCAATGCGACTGCAAAATACGGCTGCGAAATGCAAATGCGACTGCAAATGCAGCAGACGGTGCAGAATTCGTTGCATTTTGAATTGGGGAAAACAAAAGCGAATGGCGCTGGAGAAAAGCGGGAAAGCCGAGACCTTTTGATCGCGTTCAACAGACTAGAAGAAGTGCTTACCAAACTGGGGACACAAATTAAGCACTTTAAAGTGTGGCTACACCTACATTTTGACCCTCGCCCGGTCGTAGTACACTAAGAAAAATCTTATATTCTTCAGTTATAAAAAATATTCTAACAACTAAGAAACGTTTCTGTACCATTTTTAAAGATTATTAAAGATTAAACGAAACCAAATCATTTTTTCAAGTGCCCAACGTTGTCACTTGCCATTTCCCTGGCTAAATTTAGTATTTAATAAAAAAAAGGTGGATAATTTTATCGCTTAGCTACGGTGTGACCGCAGCAAAGCTGGGTTTTCTGATGGGTCAGAAGCCACAACTTCCAGCCGCATGTCAGCAAAGTCTGGGAAAATCCAGCTCGAAGTTTTTCCCCAGCCACCGCATCGCAACGCACTCGCTGTCAACTCTTTTGGATTCAGAATTTTTGCCATTGCCATCGCCATAACCATGGCCCTTTCTCTTTGGCGACATCAGGTGCAGAACCACACAACAATTAACCGACTCTTTGGTATGGGGGGGAAACTGGCTTTTGATTCGGCAGGAACAGATTTTCGCCTCCTTTCAAAGGCTCTCTGGGTAGGCATAAATCGGCTCGTCGAGGAGAAATTTTAATTCCAGCTGTCAGGCGGAAACATCACAAAGTCCCCATGTCGATGGCACACAGATGTATGAATCTTCTCCAGTTATGGCAACATTTTTCCGATTGCCACTCGTTTGTCATTGCGGGGCTTTCATTTTCCAATGTTTTTTCTTTCTTTCTGTCTTTTAGGCTGACCTCAGAAAAAAAAAAAGAAAACGTAGCTTGTCAGGATTGGGATAATTGAATTTCAAAAGTTGTTGCATCCGTATGGGACGGGCAGCCAGGCAGCAACAACTTGGAAAATGTCAGATTAATAATTTATCAATGTCGCAAGTTTATTGAAATAGATTTCCGCCCTTGTGAGACATTTGCATTTCCTGTTTCCGCTGAGCCATTGT